CCCCAAAACCCCAAAACCCCAAAACCCCTGATTTGTACTATATGATTGAATATTTTTTGGGCTATTCGCTTAGTTCTGCTTCATTGTAAGCAGAACCTCCTGGGGATTTGACTGGGAGATCTAGAGTCAGACGGAAATTTACTGTAGAGATTGTGAGGGGTGAGCAGGTTTTGACTGGAGAAGTCTTCGATGCAGGTGAAGATATTGCCAACATCGGATTTGGAGTAGAAGAGGTAGCCTTCCGGCCGATCGAAGATTGACTTGAGGTTGTTTATACTGTTCAAGATTTGGTTTCTTGCCTTTACTAAGTTTCGGACTCTATTGGGTCAAACGAATAGTACCCATGGGCTACTGATTTATAAGCCTTTGCTAAATTCTTTCCTTCTTTTGACATGAAGGACACAAAAGCTTCACTCCATTCATAATTGAAATATTTTTCAGTCGCCTTATCTTCCTCTTTCTTGTATCTCTTCTTGGTGTTCAGTCTTCTGATTATCTCAGACATTTTGAAGCTGGATAGGATTTTTAGAAATACTTTTGATTCTTTACATAGGATGCTTTCAATGAGATCTATGATTAAACAGATTCAGAATACCTTTAAATGTAGATTTGAAATAAGATAGCCTTGTTGATCTAAACATATAGTTGTGCAATTCTTACCAGTAATCATTAGTGTTGTCTCAGGCATGTTCTAGTGTTGAGAATCTGACTTCATCAGGGTTAACTCTCATCTTAAACGCTAATTTGTTATAAATATAGTCCTCAAAATCCTTCAAAGGATGCTGCTGTCTTTCTCCTTTGGCTGATTTGTTTTGTGTATCACTTGTATCCTGGAGTGTTATCCAAAACATACAGAACAATTAGCAGTTGCTTTAATCTTTAGCTCCTCTATTTCTCCTCGAAGCTTGATATTTTCTTGAGTAATATCCCACACCTACACAATACCTCAAGTTCGCTCACCTTCTTCTGTAACATACTAACATACCTAGACCTTAATTTTTATACAGTACTTTTTCTTCCTGATTCTATAAGCTTTTGAGATTTGTGTGTAGTCTCTTTTTGGAGCTGGTGGAGAGTGAGGTTGTGCTGACATTTTGGGAAATTATTATGTGACGTTCAATGAGGGAAGTTTTTATTGGGGTTTTGGGGTTTTGGGGTTTTGGGGTTTTGGGG